AACGAGGACACAAGAGCAGCCATGGCCAGTTCATGGGTAGCTAGAACTGCCGGCCTAGAGAATATATTACTACAGTTTACATCCAATCCACGCCTCCTTCATGGATATGGTACCATTTGCTGTAGTTGGTCCTTTTTGCACACAGACATGGTTCAAGTCATAGTTTGTACCACTGGTTTCTATTATAATTTGTTGATCAATATAATTGTAAAATTTAGATATTATGAGTGTTCTCGCGACAAATCTGCACACATGTTATTTACAAGTAGCAGATATAAATATATAAAAAAAATAGTAGTAAATATGTTAAAGGTTCGACTAAAACCATGTGTAAAACATCACACTTTTTGTGAACTAAAAGCATGCATTTTGTTTTCTGAAGCAAAAGAAAGCACTTGCGTCATTCAATTAATTAACAGAGAGTTCGTGTACAAAAAAAGTACAAAAACAAGGTTCATATTACAAGTAAAGACTACACTTCCCGACTTAAATGTCCCAAATGTCATCTCTGGCGGATGGAAAGGGCAGATATGTCACAAATCCCAGGTCCCCTGATCACCACGGAGGAACTATTCTCCATGGTAGACAAATATTTGAATGCCGACAAAGTTGCTTGCTGAAAAAATGAGGTCCATCAAGAGTTCAGGGTCAAAGAGACCAATGCTGGTTGATGGGACCGATGCGCTTCGGAGGTCCCGATGACCGCGGCGGGACATCCAAGAAGAAAGATAAGACGAGGTAATCTTTACCTGAAGAAGAGGCCCTCTTATGTAGTAATGTTACTTTAGTAGGAGATGGTGCAATAACCAGCCATTCTTTTCCATGAAATTAGACCGACACCTGTGGAGATTAGTTCAAGAGTCATTTTTCCTTATGAAGGTTTTTCACATTGGTATGAACGGCATAATACATTACATATCCTATGAAGGCCGAGTCATGCATGCTTCTATTTTAATGTATTTGTTTCAGCAAGCATCTTCTGCCGTTCACCACGGAGGAAATGTTCTCCATGTTAGACAAATTTTTGAATGCGGACAAAGATGTTTGCTGAAAAAACGAGGTCCATCAAGAGTTCAGGGTCGAAGAGACCAATGCTGGTCACTTGGACCGATGCACTTTGGAGGTCCCTATGACCGTGGCCGGACATCCAAAGAAAAGGATAAGACGTCTTCACCCGAAGAGGAGGCGCTCTTCTGCAGTAATGTTACTTTAGTAGAAGGTGCAACAACCGGCCATCCTCTTTCCAGAAATTAGACCAAGAACTGTGCAGATTAGTTCAAGAGTCATTTTCCTTAATTTTGTTTTTCACATTGGTATGAACGGCATAATACATTACATAATCCTGTTAAGACGGAGTCATGCATGCTTCTACTTTAATGTGTTTTTTCAGCAAGCATCTTCCATCATTCACCAAGGAGGAAATGTTCTCTATGGTAGACAAATATTTGAATGTGGACGAAGATGCTTGCTGAAAAAACGAGGTCCATCAAGAGTTCAGGGTCGAAGAGACCAATGCTGCTCGATGGGACCGATGCACTTTGGAGGTCCCTATGACCGCGGCGGGACATCCAAGAAAAATAAGACGAGGACGTCTTCACCCGGAGAAGAGGCCCTTTTCTATAGTAATGTTACTTTAGTAGGAGAAGGTGCGATAACCGTCCATTCTTTTTCTAGAAATTAGACAAAGACCTGTGCAGATTATTTCAAGAGTCATTTTCCTTGATTTTGTTTGTCACATTGGTATGAACGGGTAATACATTATTTAATCCTATTAAGATCGAGTCAAGCATGCTTCTATTTTAATGTATTTTTTCAGCAAGCATCATCAGCCGTTCACCACGGAGGAACTGTTCTTCATGGGAGACAAATATTTGAATGCGTTCGAAGATGCTTGCTGAAGAAACGAGGTCCATCAGGAGTTCAGGGTCAAAGAGACAAATGCTGGTTGATGGAACCGATGCGCTTCGGAGGTCCCTATGACAGCGGCGGGGCATCCAAGAAGAAAGATAAGACGAGTTCGTCTTCACCCGAAGAAGAGACCCTCTTTTGTAGTAATGTTACTTTACAAGGAGAAGGTGCAATGACCGGCCTTTGCAGATTAGTTCAAGAGTCACTTCCCCCTAATTTTGTTTTCACATGGGTAGGAACAGCATAATGCATTACATAATCCTATTAAGACTGGGTCATGCATGCTTCTGGTTAATCCTTTTGTACTAAGAGACAAGTGCGTAAGTTCAAACATCTTTGCCGGCTTATGCTTGCTATGTATTTTAATGTGGGTGAAGTTTTAGGATCATAGGTGGAAGTTTTTTTCTTCCTTTGACAGAATTATGCCTATATTTTGAACAGCGGATATGTATTTCAGAGTTGTGACCAGAACTAAGGGGAAGGGAGAGCCAGAACTGATGGGAAAAAAAATCAAGCAAGGCCATGGGAGCTCGTGGTTTATGCTGGTCATAAGCAACACTTCTCTTTACCCGCAAAAAAAAATAAGCAACACTTCTCAATGACACAGGAGAGAGAACTCCTCCAGCCAAATCAGGGAAACGAAGTTCTGGCTCAGTTCTTAGACATCAAGCATTGATCAGATCACCACACCCCGGGGTGTTGGCTAGCTCTCAGGAACTGGTCGGGTACCATCTTATAGGCAGAGAAAGCTCAAAAAATATACGTAATCAATGGATAGATCGCCGTTCTGGAAGAAGGGCCCATGGACGCCGGAGGAGGACAAGCTGCTGGTGGACTACATCCAGAAGAATGGCATGGGCAACTGGGGGGCCATCCGGCCGCTCACTGGCCTCGACCGCTGCAGCAAGAGCTGCCGCCTACGCTGGACCAGGCACCTACGCACTAACATCAAGCATGGCGGCTTCACTGACGACGAGGGGAAGCTCATCATCCAACTCCACTCCATCCTTGGAAACAGGTATGCATTATTCTTCTCTGTTGCTTCTCTCGTAGTATCTATCTTCTTCTCCGACTCAGGTGACTGATCGATTTGAGATGGGTCTAGGTGGGCACGGATCGCGGCGAACATGCCGGGGAGGACAGACAACGAGATCAAGAAATACTGGAACACGCACCTTCGGAAGATGTCGTTCCACAAGGGCATGGACCCCAACATGCACCGCTTGTACCCCAACGTCAGTCTCCCCATCACTGTTGGCTTCGCCGGCGGCAGCTCAGGAGCCGGCGCCGGCTGGGACATCAATGATCTTAGGTTCCAGACCAACGACTCCACGAGCCACCTGCTCCAGGGCCATTGTTCGATGATCAGTTCTTCGTTGGGCGCCATGAGAGCCCTTGTTGGGAAGCTGGACATGCTGCTGCTAGCTCCTCCATCTCCTCAGGGGTTCTCCTCCAAGAGGGTGAAGGATGGGATGCACCTCCTCAAGGATGATGTTGAAGAGATAAGCTCCTACCTTGATGAACTTTTAGAGGTGGAGGACCCTCCCCCGATGGCCATGTGCTGGATGAATGAGGCACGTGAACTGTCCTACGATATGGAGGATTACATCGACAGCTTATTATGTGTGCCACCTGACCGTCAGAACATCATGCAGAAGAAAAAACAGAAGAAGCGGAAGAAAAAGAGGTATAGGAAAATAAGGAAGAGGATCAAGTGGTACAAACAGATTGCATACGACGTTGCGCAAGTATCAGAACATGGTATAAAGACTAGCAAACACATTCATATTAATGTTTTCCCTCGTCTTCCTGGTAAACCCAAGATTACAAAAACAATATCAGAATTCAGGATCTATGTACAGGAGGCTATTGAACGACACGACAGGTATAAACTCCATTGTTGCAGCAACTTGAGAAGGCGTACATTCTTGTCCACTGGCCATATGCTTCCAATGCCCTACGAAGAAACCAATGATCACGTGGTAATTGATGGACGGATGAATGAGTTTATCAACTCTGTAGCTGCTAACATTGTGGCAGATCAGCAGCAGCTCAAGGTGGTGTCTGTTCTTGGATCTGGATGTCTGGGTAAAACTACACTTGCCAGAGTGTTGTACAACAGAATCGCGATGCAATTCGATTGCAGAGCTTTCATTCGAGTGTCCAAAAAGCCTGATATGAAGAGACTTCTCTGTGACTTGTTCTCGCAACTCCACCAGAAGAAGCAGCCACTGCCTGCCAACTGTAATGAACTTGGCAGCAGCGATATTAATATCAGCAAACACCTGCAAGATAAAAGGTACTTACTGTTAATCCAGTTCCCTCATACTCTATTTGTTTTAGTTTATGTTAACCCAGCAAACATCAATTTCACTATTAGCCTGAAAGAATATATCTAATGTGCATGAATTCTTGCCATACAGGTATCTGGTGGTTATAGACGATCTGTGGGATGCATCAGTATGGGATATTATTAAACATGCTTTTCCAAAGGGAAACCATGGCAGCAGGATAATAATAACCACACAGATTGAAGATGTTGCGTTAACATGTTGCTGTGATCACTCGGAGCATGTTTTTGAGATGAAACCTCTGGACAATTATCACTCAAGAAAGCTATTCTTTAACAGACTTTTTGGTTCTGGAAGTGAGTGTCCCGAAGAATTCAAGCAAGTTTCAGATGAAATTGTTGATATATGTGGTGGTTTACCGCTAGCAACAATCAACATAGCTAGTCATTTGAGAAACCAGCAGACAGCAGTGTCACTGGATTTGCTGACATACATACGCGATTCGTTGAGGTCCCATCTGTGGTCAAGTTCTACTTTAGAAAGAACGGGACAAGTACTGAACCTTACCTACAATAATCTTCCTCATTATCTGAAGACATGCTTGCTGTACCTTCATATGTATCCAGAGGGTTCCATAATCTGGAAGGATGATCTGGTGAAGCAATGGCTGGCTGAAGCCTTTATTGTTACACAAAAAGGGAAAAAGCAAGATCAAGACTGGTTGGAAAAAGCTGCAGGGATCTGTTTTGATGAACTTACTGATAGACGATTCATCCAACCTTTATATATCAACTACAACAATAAGGTTTTGTCCTGTACGGTTCTTGAAGTGGTACATGATCTTATTGGACACAAGTCTGCGGAAGAGAATTTCATTGTGGCAGTAGACTACAATCGAAAGAATATAGCACTTTCTCATAAGGTTCGTCGACTATCTCTCTTCTTTGGCGATGCAAAATATGCCAAGACGCCAACAAATATCACAAAGGCACATGTTCGATCACTTAATTATTTTGGATTATTCAAGTGTATGCCTTGTATTAGAGAGTTCAAGGTTCTCCGTGTTCTGAACCTTCAACTATGTGGTGATTGCGGCGACCATGGCCCCATAGACCTCACTGGGATTTCAGAACTGTTTCAGCTAAGATATTTGAAGATTGCAAGTGATGTCTGCATAAAACTACCAAACCATATGCGAGGACTGCAATGTTTGGAAACACTGGATGTTATGGATGCAACAAGAGTCACCGCTGTTCCATGGGATATTATACATCTCCCACACTTGTTGCACCTTACTCTTCCAGTTGACACAAATATGCTGGATTGGATTGGCAGCAGCCTGAGTGGCTCGGTCCTCAGTCTGTGGAACCTTGGCAAGCTGAACCACCTGCAGGATCTACATCTAAACATTTCTTCCACGCACCCTTCCCACCATTTGCAGAGAAGCATGGAAGCTCTGGGTTCTTTGATTGGAGGACATGGCAATCTGAAAACTATAGTAGTGGCTCATGGCTCGTCGGTTGAAAATACTGTGATTCATGGCGCTCCAGAAGTAACCATTTCATGGGATCGCATGGCACCTCCCTCTCTTCTTCAGAGATTTGAATGCTCGACACACAGCGGCATCATATTTTACCGAATTCCTAAGTGGGTTACAGAACTTGGCAACCTGTGCATTTTGAAGATTTTAGTTAAGGAACTTCAGATGATTTGTGTTGGTATTCTCAGAGGATTGCCTGCCCTCACTGTTCTATCTCTGTATGTGGAGAAGGCGCCCCTTGAACAAATCATTTTTGACAAGGCCGGGTTCTTAGTTCTCAAGCACTTCAAGTTGAGGTTCAGGAGTGGTATAGCTTGGCTAAAATTCGAGGCCGATGCAATGCCTAACCTCTGGATTCTCAAGCTAGTTTTCAATGCCATCCCCCGAATGGACCAGCATCATTTTATTTCTTCAAGTCAAGCCCCATTTGAAGCATATCAACATGGTACTGCATTTATCACCATCGAGCATATGCCAAGCCTTAAAGAGATCTCTGCAAAATTTGGGGGTGCTGCTGCTGATGTGGAGTATGCCTTGAGGATTGGCATTAGAAATCATCCGAGCAATCCTACAATCAACGGGCAATTGGGGGATTATAGTTCCTATGGTGATGAAAGAACAAAACAGAAACAACCACCAGATGAAGTTCTGGAGGAAAAACCAGATGAATACGACAAGCCATTGGAGGTACCAACTGATAAAAGGTATTACAATTTTTTTCACCTGCTATCCTTTATTCTAGAGTACTGCTCCTTTGCTAGAATATAACAAGCCATTGGTGATACCAGCTGATAAAAACCACTCCCTCCTTTATTCTAGGTTCCATGTAGCCTGAGCTACAAAGGAACTTTGCGTATCATTATATAGTGTGTGAAGGCTTTTGGCAAGGAAATTGGCGCAAGGCTAAATGCAAATTACTAAGCCATGGTTACAGAAAGTTTTCCTTCATGATATCCTTTAACAAATATAGTTGGCTGATCCATGATTAGCAATGGTTAGATTATGTTGGCTGTAAAAGCGAGAATATCAGGAGCTGATTGCTAACACGTCTTAGATTTTGGGAAGGAGGGGTACTGCGAATGTTCATTGTTAAAACAAGGAAATACGGAGTTAATTGCAGAAAACCACCACATTGTGGGCTAGGTTTGCAGGAAACATGGATTTACAAATTTGCCATAAAAATCACTAATTCTTGGCCTAATTTATTGCAAAAAAACACTGACTGGCGGCTTAGGCCATTTTGACAACGACTATGACATGTGGGTCCCGCATTTTCTGACGTAGTGTACGGCTTGTGAAAGACGACACTTGACGGGTCTTTTTCCCAAAAACTCATCCCTCACTTAAATAAAATCTTCCTCCCGTACCCCGATCCAGATCGAGATCGGGTGTTCCTGCACGCCAGCGCTCTCCCCTCCTCCTGCCAACTGACGAAGTCTCTGCTGGCGTGTGCACGCTCTATTGTGCGCTGAACATGGTGCCGCGCCGTATGTGCACCGATGGGCCGATCTTGTGCCACGCGCCCAACAGCATTTTCACTGCGACATGGCCGAAGGTGCTCGCCGCCTCCTTCATGCCGGGCGCACTCGAGGCCGTCTTTCACTATCGCGTGCACTGACTTGTACAACCTCAGTTTCGTCTAGTGCGGCTGCAGAGGGTAAAACCATATGGAAGAATAACCAATACGGCTAGCCGGCTACGGCTACCTCCCTAGCTGGATGCACTACACCACAACACTACATCCCCGACAGTCAAGTTGGTCGGGAATACAAATTCCGCCAACAGACAGTCGGTTGGGAAAACCCTTTCCCAACCGACATTGTCTGTTGGGGAAAGTACAGATGGGAGAACCCTTTCCCAATCGACACGTCTTTCTTGACCGACTGTTTGTCGACTTTGGAGTATCTTTCCAACCAACATTTTGTTAGGCCTGCCATATGGCCGCCCTTCTGGCTTTCTACGACAGTGAGCACGTGGTACTTGGACCTCGGCGAGTCCGGAGGTCGACCATCGGGGAAGACCTTCTATATATGCGGCCACGTCTAGGGCGGTGCACTGCAAGGTGTCGCCGTGCTCATGATCACCATGGGGTATAGTGTGGCGTAGCCCACTCTGGAAAGGTGCGCCGACGGCGGGGCCAGGGATGGACAAGCTAGGCGCGGCGTTCTTGGTTGCGTTCGAGGCCCTTGAGGTCAGCAAGCAAGCCAGGGGCTGATTGCGTTTTTTGTTTTGATTGAAGGGTGTCTATGCAAAATAGCAAGGACTATTTAGTAAATTTAGATCAAGCCCTGTCTAGCGTCGGCCCTATGAACCGTTAAGCTACATCAACAAATACGGGACCCACATGTCATAATCGTCATCAAAATGGCCTAACTCGTCGATCGGTATTTTTGTGCAATACATTAGGTTGAGAAATAGTGGATTTTTGTCACAAATCTGTAAAACCGTGTTTTCTGCTAACCTAGCCCACAATGTGGTTTTGTGCAATTAACTTGGAAATATGCCCTCCTTTACTTCAATTTGACATGATTATTCAATTGAATATGATTCAATTATTCATGTTCTAACGAAGCTAAATGGTTGTTGTAATCAGGATATTATCAAGGTCATCGGAGTCCTCTTCATGCCTGCATGTTCCCGGTATACTTTTCTGTCAACTGGTACTGCTTGGATATATGGTCATTTTTTTGGATTTTTCCACATGCTATCAGGATTTTTCCACCTGTAAGCCATTGGAGTACTACCAATCTTCATTGCTAAAACAGGCGCGGTGGAGGACCCCAAGCCGATGCTCACTGGCGGCAGCAGCACGTTGCCGTCATCGCCCTCTCTCGGTGGTGGGGGTGCTAGGAGCTATGTGCTGGAGGCTCCTCTGCCGGCCACGGCCGTGGCCAGTCCGCCGATGCTACCGGTCGTTGTGGTTGACACACAGGAGGCCCAGACTCAGCTGGTGCACGCGCTGCTGGCGTGCGCGGAGGCCGTGCAGAAGAATAACATATTGGCCGCCGACGCACAGTTGAGGCAGATAGGCTTACTGGCCGGCTCCCAAAGCGGCGCGATGCGCAAGGTCGCCGCCCACTTCAGCAACGCTCTCGCCCGCCGTGTCCTTCATTTCTGCTCGCAGCTGCAAAACTACCTCCTCAACGCCGACTTCGCTGACCTCCTCAACGTGCAGTTCTGCGAGTCAGGCCCCTACCTCAAGTTCGCACACTTCACCGCGAACCAAGCCATCCTGGAGGCGTTTGCCGGCTGCCGGCGTGTCCACGTCATCGACTTGGGCATCAAGCAGGGGATGCAGTGGCCGGCCCTTCTCCAAGCCCTCGCCCTCCGTCCGGGCGGTCCTCCGTCTTTCCGCCTCACGGGCATTGGCCCCCAGCGGCCGGACGAGAACGCCTTGCAGCAGGTGGGCTCGAAGCTTGCCCAGTTCGCACACACTATCCACGTGGATTTCCAGTACCGTGGCCTAGTCGCCGCTACGCTCGCCGACCTCGAGCCGTACATGCTGCAGCCGGAGGGTGAGGAGGACCCGAACCAAGAGCCTGAGGTAATCGCCGTCAACTCCGTCTTCGAGATGCACCGGCTGCTTGCGTTGCCTGGTGCCCTTGAGAAGGTCCTAGGCACCGTGCACGCTGTGCGGCCGAGGATC